GATGTATTCAAAACGTCCACTGTGAATATAACAGCAGGGCGTACAAATCAGACACATACAGCTTTTCATAGGTACACCTTATGCAAACAGACTCCCCGTTAAATCCTACCACAGCATAAGGATAATTAGTTATTTCAGTGGTGATAAAATAATTAACCGGATTTCAGGTCAAGAAGCAGCTTTGGTTAAAATTAACATGCCAGTTAGAAAACTGAAGCCAGCAATTTTAATGTCTCCTGTTTCTCACATATGGGAGAACATAAAAAAAAGCATTATAACATGCAGCACCAGAAGAACGTAGTCTGGCAAACCTGTTCTTCGTGAAGAAAGGCTACTACCTTTCCGATGCTAAAAAAAACCCCAATGCCAACAAAGAAACCAAAAAGCTCTGTCACATTTAAGAATAAGTTACACAAAAAAATAAGACTGTAAACCTTAACGCAGACTTTGGCATCTCTGTGTATGCACCCCTAGGACTGAGCCCATTTCTCTCCTATAAGGTGACTGTTCGATGCAAATAGGAGTTATGGAGATGCCTCTCAGACAGAACAATAATGTGAAATACACCCCTGCAAAAAACACAACTCCATGATAGCTGTCACCATAATAATAATTATAATAATAATAAAGCACCATGTAGACATTTACCTGAAAAGGCAACAGATTGTTGCCATTGTCCGTCCTGAATGCGTTGTCTTCCATCCAGGATTTGGGGGTTAAGGGTGCAGCCCGTGGGAACTTCGGAGGGGCAATGACATTGCTGGAGAATGGTTTTTTAAGGGGTGAAATGGGATTGAGGGGGGAGGGTACACCGACCCCCACTCCCACGCCGACCCCCACTCCAACTGCCCTTCGAGGGTCCCTACCAGCCTGCAGCCCACCCCAAGGGTTGGAAGGTGTACTCCAAGCCGCGTTTTGATGGTTATTCCAGCTAGAGGAGGAAGAAGAGGAGGCAGAGGAGGAAGACGGTTTGCTGGTCATGATGGGCTGATGGCTGTAAGCAGCATTTCTCTGGGCGAAAGGTGCCTGATTAGGGCTTACAGGTGACCTCCGCTGCTGCTGCTGCTGAGCTTGCTGCTGCTGCTGCTGATGTTGGTGGTGTTGAGTCTGAGCTAGGCCAATCTGAGGCGAGAAAGTGCCACCAAATACAGGGTTGACATGGTGTGGAAAATTCTGGAAAAGCATTGTCCCATTGACTGGAGTAATCCCTTGGAAAAAGCTATCATCCACCGCGTTTGTGGTCCCTGTAGACCAGGTGCTGCCAAAGGAGGGAGATAAGGAGGTGCCGGCTGCAGGTTCTTGTTGAGGCTGGTGAAAGCTCAAGCCAGGCAAAATGGGAGACTCCATCTGCATCTTCTCCTTGCTATTTTGGGAAGGAGCCGATGTGCCGATACTAGTCACTGAACTGTTGTCTTCTGGTTTAGGTGTTTCCGACGAGATGGGCGTAGAGGGGGCTTCTGCTGAGTTTGGATCTTGCTGCTGCTGCTGCTGCCGCTGCTGCTGGGGCTGGGCTTTGCTTTTGTCCATCAGTAAATCATCCTGCATGGTTTGCGCAGCTGAAACAGTAGGGGAAAAAACCACAAAGACAGATTATTAACATTGTCATTCATACCACAAACCAGGCCGTTTTCATCATTTGCCGGCCAAAAATCTCGTTCTATTGCTAGTGCTATGCTACAGCAAGTTGCAAGGCAAAGCCGTAATCTTCCCCCACACCCCACACCCCCCCTCCCTCCATTTAGGAATCTGTAACCTTTGATCGTGCTAGATTGCCTTTAAAATATTTTTTAAGATGCTTCACCCTTTTTGATGCCTTGTTTCCCTTCAGTCTAAATGAGAGATGTGCTTATAGGGCAGAGATATACAGCAATTTCGCCACGTCTCTTTTCTCTTACACCGGAACTCAGAGCTCTCACCCTGCAATGAGAAACTGATTCTGGTTCCTGTTTTTCCAAGCACCCTCCTCCTCCTCCACCTCCTCCCCCTGGTTATTTGCATACGTCAATAAATACTGCTGCGTCCTTCAGCAAGGTTAAAAAGACACCAGTCTTCGCTCTTCTCCACCCCCTTCTCTGTCAGGGGACCTTTAAAGGAGCCGGGTACCCATTTTCCTTAACTACCAAACAAGCGTTCCGTCATTCGCGTTTCTCGCAGAGAAGGCAGACGCCAGGCTCGCACCGGCAGGGAGCGGCTGGGCGCTGCGCGGCCGC